ACATTATTGTTTCTTTAAATTGCATTCAGATAAACGAACTCAAAGCTTTTAGTTAAGTTTTAGGATAGTAAATGGAGTCCATGGACATCACGATGCCACCGCTCACCATGAGACACGAGGTGGATGTTTCTGTAGCATTATAATCCTAATATTTATATTGGAATGCTGGAATGATTCGCGAAATATCTAGAATTAGCGTGACCATAAATTATATTTCACTAAAGTTTTCGCGAGATAATACTATTATGAAATAGGCATAATGTATTAAATTAAAAAAAATACGTCTGCTGTTCCTAGCTAGATACTTTTTACAGCATCTGAACTAATTCGCTTTCCTGTATCTGTTATACAGGGTCTTCTAACATGATTCCATCAACTTAATTTTTTTTCATATTTCAGTTATCTGTCATACATTATGTATCGTATCATATATTTATAGTAAAGGAGTGTTTCGTAATTAACGTAATTTTTATTTTTTTACCAACTTCAAGACGAATAACTCGAAGATTTTCGTACCTAACAAGGGCTGAAAATAACACAAAAATTTGAAGGCTTTGGGAAACTATCCTGAACGAATCTAGATATTTCTCATTCACTTTGTTTACGATTTTGATAAGAACGCAACTGCAATCCGAATAAATAGTTTATTGCAGACAAATCAAAGACTGTCATTCGGCCAAACAATCCTAGGGTACTAGATACTGATTTAAGTTCTCTGCCCATCAATAGTTAAAGTGAAGATTAAAAATTACATATAAATATAACTGGCCTAGTATAACGCAGTCAGAGCGAACATTCTCTTATCAATACTACTGAATTGATGCTAATAAATCATATGGAAGAAGTGAAAGGTGTTTTGGTAAACTTATGTTATGAAACGGCCGCTTTCAATAATAGGGTTAATGTTGTGCAATGATAATCATTACACGTGTAAACGGTTGGGAATAACTGGTGATTCACGTTCTGATGCAGTTGTTACTTCAATTTCAGTTTTGAAGGCATCGGACTTAGCTGTTTCAAGGCATCGGACTTAAAAATAGTTTTTATTTTTTTATTGCTTAGATGGATGGACGAGCTCACCACCCACCTGATGTTAAGTGGTTACTGGAGCCCATAGACATCTAAAACGCATATGCGCCACCCATCTTGAGATATTCTAAGGTCTCAGTATAGTTACAACGGCTACCCCACCCTGCGAACCGAAACGCATTACCGCTTCACGGCGGAAATAGGCGGGGTGGTGGTACCTACCCGTGCGGACTCCCAAGAGGTCCTACCACCAGTGATAAAATAAGAATAAATAGCCATCGCGATACTTCGGTCGATGCCGTAATACGAATAACATCAGCGCTTTATATATATTATACCTGCATATTACAATCGCCAAACAGCATTTAGGTACTCGTAATATTACTTGTGTGGCGCATATTTTCAATCTAACAGGTGGATACCATCCTTCTTATTTCTGTCGGAAAGTATGACTTCCCGTATAAAGGGGTCATATAAAGCGGTCGCTTTAGTTAATAGTGAGATTTTGACCTTAAGTCTCTGGATGGATGTTTTAATGGCGGAATTTTTGTTTTCAAATCCATGGACCACTGGTTACCAATTAATATTAGGGGGATGGTCCAAGATCGTTGTTACCTGCCATAAGCAATATACAAAACGCAACAATATACAAATATACATAATTGTCATCGGTTCTTGATGCGTGTGCAAATTTTCTAGTTAATCGGCGTTCTGAATTCAGTGAAAATGACGATCTAATAGTTCGTTACGTACAAACGAACATCCCAAGCTAATGAAAGCGTCTTAAAATGAATAAAAATGTAGGAATAACATTACTCTTTGAGCGTAGAAAGAAATTTTGTACCTACCTATAAGTCTTTCGAGACAAAATCTATACTAATAAATAAAGTGGAAGAGTTTGTTTGTTTTAACGTGCTAATCTCAGGAATTACTGGTCCGATTTGAAAAATTATTTCAGTGTTAGATAGCCCATTTATTGCGGAAGACGGTACGGTAAGACCAATACAAGTGGAGCACCAATAAAGAATGTTTCAAAATAGGGTTTTAAATAGCTCCTTAACATTCTATAATTCATAAATATTTTCACTTTCTACGTAAATGAAGTGGGGGGTAAGGTTTAGCGTTATGCCAAAGTAACTATTCCACGCGGACGGAGTTGCAGGCAAAAGCTGGTCGCTAATAATACTTTTATTTGCATCACTTAGACGCATATATTATTATAACATACTATGAAACTTTACTGTTTTCGTAGCGATATATGTAATATGCAACCAAATAACAGGTATTGCGAGTAGGGACGTGATATTCAGTATGGTTTGGAATATTCAAACTCACGTATAACATAAACAGTTTTATGATCATTGTTACTGTCCAATGTTTTGTGGTTTGGCTGCGAAAACAATACGATTTGGAAACGCTGTGGACATTTGAATATTCATTTGTTGTATTGTTACGAAATTTTCGGTTTAACTGCTCCTGTGATTGTTTTGGGAAAACTATTTTCAATTCGCATCTATAAGCGTAGTAAAACAATTTTATTGCTCTAGCAACACTGTTGTGGCAGAGCTAATAAAAATAATATTGCTCTTAAATGAATATGAATGCTCTGGCAATAATAATGAACTACGCTAATTGTTATTTAAATGACGATTTTCTTCTTTTCATTACTACGGCTCTATATACGGCTATCAACTTTTTGCGATGCCATTAATTATAATATAGGTGTTAGACATATTATGTTAGTTTATAAATGAAGTAGAATGAGTATATTAAATTGAAATTGTAATGAATTAAAATGAAATTAAATAAAATGAGATGGGATGTAACGAAATCTTTTAACAAATATTGGGAATTTACTAAGATCCAGCGAATTTTATTTCTCACACTTAAGCACTTATATTGATTCTAACGGTTAATAAACCACAACTATTACTTGTTAAATCCAGTAGACACGAAACTAATATAAAAAAAATCACACAGCTTCGATCTTCGCATTCCCGCCAAAAAGTTTTAGGTTAATTTCAAGATTTAAACATTTGTGTTATCTGTGGCCCGACTAGTCTGACAGGTGTCAACAGAACACTATTGTTGTCTGACATTACGAAACAAGTGGTACATAGCATCTCACAAGAGGTGTTACTAGACGTGCGCTAATCATGTTCGGAACTGGATTGAACATGACATCGTTCTTTTGAGTGTCGGAACTAGTTCCAGTAAACATGTTCGCGGAACTGTTTAGTTTCACGAACATGTTAAGTCTAGTAGCTGTTTGTAGTTTGTAGCTGTTTAGTTCCGCGGACATATTAAGTCTAGTACCTGTTTGAAGCTGTTTAGTTCCGCGGACATGTTAAGTCTAGTAGCTGTTTGTAGTGTAGCGAATCACGTATTAAGTTATTATTAATTACACAATATTTTTCAAAAAAGGTATTAAAAATACAATTTTTTAAAAGCACTATATAAAAATAGATTGCCGCTTATGGCAATTATTATTGTAATTATTATTTTGTAAGGTTTTTAGTTTTAGGTTCATTGTTACAGCTGGTTGCATAATTTATTAATGTACTGTAATTACTTTGTCATAATTTCAACTACTCTACTACTTTCATTATTTTTCAATGTAGGTATTGTACGATGCACCGAAAACTATAACCTATCAGTTGTTAATTAAAATACCACGTTATTCTGATATACAACGTAAATTGAGCTCGTTGTAGCCTTACAACCTTTTTCCCATAACCGAGATACCGAATAGCGAAAGTGGTGAATGTTTTAAAATTCTCGAATTTTGAATTATGATTTTCTAAGAAATGGTCTACAAACACTTAAGGTTAAGTGCTCGTAGGAATGATGCATGGTCAAGGTCAAAATCCATAGCAAAACATTTTAATTTATTCAACTATCGACTGTAACACGTAGGTCGTAGAGCATAACTTCAATATTAATAAAAATGTAATATGAAAGAGCTCCACACGCAGTTTCATGCACTCGCTCCATCTCACTCTCTCGTATTCGTGCCATATGTCGCCTTATCTCTTTACGTGGACTCGTGTCGGTTCGAGACTCGTTCGGGTGGACTCGCCGCGCCACGCCTCCGCGCCGCGCGGTACCTATGCTCTAATCATGTCCGCATGTCCGTCATGTTCAACGCGTTTGTAGTTCCTGCATAACAGTACACTTGGAATGGAAATGGAACTGTCTGAACATGTTAATTTTGACAACTCGGATTGAATGATATAGTTCCATATGAGGACATAGTTCCAGGAACTATTTAGGTCCGGAACTACGCATGTCTAGGTGTTACATCACAGACCCAGAAGAGATCCGGTGACTTGGCAAACTTTGACCGCTAGTTACATAAAATAGAATGCGTTACGTTTTGTTTACTTTTACTTTTGAATATTATAAATAAATCAATTAATCGGTTTTGTAGTTATCCAATTTTTTATTGATGTATAGCGTTTTGGAATCTATGCGAAACAAAGATTTGTTTGTCTCGAAGGAAATTGGTTTACGACTTGTTACATCGTACAAGATGGAAATATTTAAAATCTTTATGAGTTTGCCCTAACGAGTAATCTGTTTTTCCTGAACATCGATTTTGTTTAAATCAGAAAAATATTAGTTTAAGCGAATGAACAAATTTTTAACGTATTTGTCTTTTGTGAGTGATCGTATACCTATATAGTTTAACAATTTTGTAGTTGTAATTATTACAAAACGCAATTTACATAAAAAACGTTGAATCAAACATCATCGTTACCTACTTAATATTAAATACACAAAACTTGTAATTGATCAGTGCGAAATTATAATTATGTTTCTGTTAAAAAAACATACAAGTCAAATTTAAAATTACGTGATAAATAAAGGGATTTTTTAAATTCCTTCCAAACTAACCTCAAATGCGAATAGTTTTGGCGGCAAAACATCTGTTGTCTTTGACCGATGGGATTAATTTAAGATTTCCTTACCGTCCAAGTGGGCTGGGTATTTGTGGGCCGCGTATCCTGTGGGCAGGGCTGGTGCGGTGTGGGAGTAGTGCGCTGGAGCCGTGGGCGCTCCGTATGCTGATGGTGGCGGGCCGTACTCGAGGTGTGAGGTTGGTGGTGGACCGTATACTGGTGTCGCTGTAATGCGCATATTTTTTTCTAAGCTTAGCTTTTTTATTATTCGAAATTCGAAAAACACTATGTAGGTTTTCTTTTTTTTATTGCCTATTTGAGTGGACAAGCTCACAGCCCACCTGGTGTTAAGTGGTTACTAGAGCCCATAGACATTTACAACGTAAATGCGCTACCCACCTTGAGATATAAGTTCTAAGGTCTCAAGTAACTAGTTACAACGGCTGCCCCACCCTTCAAACAGAAACGCATTACTGCTTCAAAAAAGAACTTCTTCAACTATTCGAATGGAGTAAACTTAATTGAAGTTCAATTAAAAACATCGAACTGTTGATGCTAATACCAAATAAAACGCACCTTTAATTACAAAGCTAAAAGTTGCATGTTAAGCGTAATGTAGCTTAAACCAAATAGCTTATCACACCTCAATTTTTTTTATTGCCTTTGTAGGCAGACGAACATACGGCCCACCTGATGGTGAGTGGTTACCGTCGCCCATGGACTCCAGCAATGCCAGGGGTAGAGCTAAGCCGCTGCCTACCGAATTAGTATTTTGAGGTCTAAGGAGAAACGGGCCGTAACTCAATGTTCAAATTGTAAATATTCGAATTATCGGAAATAATATAGAGACAATAAAAAAAAAGCGAGATAAAACCGTAAAATAAGTTTAAATCGTGTCTATGTCTCGCGAAAACCGAAGAAACCATTAAATATATTATTATGACGACATAATTTTTTAGTTTTAAATTTGCAATTAATGCAAAAATAATATTATCAAATCTTCGACCTCAAAACTAAAAACGATCTGACACTAAATTACGTGATTGCAATTTTAATCACGACTTTTACCTAGTTCTGTGGGTATTTCGTAACAAAATTTTTGGAGAGGCACAAAAAATTCTGTTATTGCATAACTCCATTGCTCTTAAGAAAAATAATCGAGTATTAAGTGCATTAAAGCAGTGATATCATTAATGAAATAAGAATAGTCCCTTCTCTAGTTTTTTAAATTTTGCAACAAAAAAGAATCGAACTCACATAATCGAGTATTAAGTGCATTAAGGCAGTGATATCATTAATGAAATAAGGATGATCTCTTCTCTAGTTTTTACATTTTGCAACAAAACAAAATTGAACTCACAAACAGGCTTCTTCTCACTCAGCGCTGCCGAGCTGACTATTTTCTTTCCGAGGTTGCTTACAGCATCACCCTTTACGGCAATGACCTTGCCCAGCGTGGAAGCCAAGGCACCACCGCCCTTAATAAGCTGTCCTTTCAAAATCGTCACTCCACCGGTAATGGCTTTGACGGCTTGGAAAAGAGTGTAAAGAATTGACTTCTTCAGGCCCAAGAAATCGTATTTTTCACCTTGCTGGGGCTGTAAAATATAGAAATGCTACCGATGTACTTGTTAGCTACATAAATCTACTAGTGTAATAATATTGACTACCTCCTCATTAAATTATTGAATTTCATAAAAAAAATATCGATTTCTTTATTTTACTTCTTCCCTGGAAATCACATAAGTGTGTACTAAGTTAGTTTCATTACAATCGGATGTGTTGGAGTTTGAATATGTAAGTAATGGCAGGCAACACTTGTCACATGTGAAGTAACAGTTTTTCAAATATTGGAATGCTTATTTGAATGTTTAAACCGATGATTGTCTTCTATTCAGTAATGACAATGACTTCTCATCTAGACACGGATAGAGCAACATCTTAGGGTTTTATGAAAATAAAATATTGTAATGGTGTAATAGTATACAAGGTGTTTGCAATATAATTATATTAACCATGAAGTAGAATGTTTTTAAATAGCCCCTCACCTATAGAACCCAATACCCTCAAATTTAACCGTCCAACAGGATGTGTATAGAGGAAAAACATACTAACAGACATTGATTTTTCTATACTAATATTATAAAGCTGATGAGTTTGTTTGTTTGAACGCGCTAATCTCAGGAACTACTGGTCCGATTTGAAAAATTCTTTCAGTTTCAGATAGCTTGTATTTACATAAACCTTAAGTCTTAAGTTAACCGGATGCTCGCCCTCTGAATACTGTTTTAAGTTGCACACAGTTTTTCAGCACATTTTTGTATTTACGTTAAAAATAATCCGATCTACTTCAACTTTAAAAATTCTTTCAAACACCTCATTAAGGAGCATTATTTTAAACAGTTAGCTGGTTGACCAGCTTAATTTGTGTTAGGGTAGATTCTGAAATTGGTATTTACTTCAATTGTATATTTATGTTTCATACGTATTTTAAGTATGTTTTATATGTAAATTGTTTATTCTTATTTATGTGTAAAGAAGCAAAATCATTATTACGTTACATTGTGTATTTGTATCTATATGTATTTATATTTATAAATGTATATATGTAAGGAATTTGTGTATGTATATGTGTGTGTATGTATGTATGCGTGTGTGTATATTTCCATTTATTGGTACACCGCGTGTAATTAGTTACCGAAAGATTCGTTTCCACCTGATGGTTGTCTGGAAGAGATCGCTCTTAGCGATAAGACCGCCAATTGTACTTTTTTTTGTATTTAATGTTTCGCATTGTTTATTTTGTTGGTGTACAATAAAGAATACTCTCTCTCTCTCTCTCTCTACTGATGAATGTTGATTCTCTTACGGGTTCATAAGAGTATCCTCCGTGGTCACCTCCGGTCTTACTTGAAGCGGAGGATATGAAGGCTGAGGCTTGGCCCAGCAAGCCGACTTTACTCTGCAGCCCAGATGACGCCTTAGACACGACTGACGTCAGCGCTTGGGCTGACGATCTCTTTGTCCTAAAAACAAATTAAACTCCGATTTAAATAAAAGCAAATTAGCCAATGAAAATAAGAGGAACCTATTCAAAACTGCTTGTAGTGGATTCAGCCGTGACTGCAAAAAAACTGTAGAGTATTTTAAACGCGAAATAAAACTATAAAAGTAGTTTTAATTGTGTCTACAACTAGCAAAAACCTAAGCAAATGCTTTAACTATTTATCTTTCTCGATATCATTTTCAATTTATTTCACCATTCGCATTATTGAAAGTAGGGTTGTGTCATCTTCATTTTAATGCTCAATTTTCTATATTCCACAATCGTGCTAATTCTCATTTTTTCTAGTTTTTTATTTATTGCTTAGATGGATGGGCGAGCTTACAGCCTACCTGGTGTTAAGTGGTTACTGGAGCCTATACACATCTACAACGTAAATGCGCCACCCACCTTGAGATATAAGTTTTAAGGTCTCAAGTATAGTTACAACGGCTGCCCCACCCTTCAAACCGAAACGCATTACTGCTTCACGGCAGATATAGGTAGGGTGGTGGTATCTACCTGTGCGGACTCACAAGAGGTCCTACCACCAGTAAAAATTCAGATTCAAAGACAGCAAAGGGATAATACAACACGAGATTTCGTTGTATTTACGGGCTCCAGAAATCACTGGGTATCATGTTCACGACAGGCAGTAGCTTGAACTTTATCTCTAACATAGCTGACGATTAAAATATCAAACCATAGTCTCAACCCCTAATGTGTGGTGCTGAATCAACCCGGCCACATTGATCTATACTAATCTATACTTCTATACTAACATTATAAAGAGGAAAGATTTCTTTGTTTGTATTGAATAGGCTTCGAAACTAATAAACCGATTTGAAAAATTATTTCACTGTTTGAAAGCTACACTATTCCCGAGTGACATAGGCTATTATAATCTTTTTTGAAAAAAATTAGGGATCCTTACTAAAACTCCAATAATGTAACCTATGTGTAAAAAAATTACCTAAAACATTCTTTATATCGCGTGCCCTCCGAAAACGATTGATGATAGAATAAAATAATGCACTACAACTACAACACATTATTATTTACAAAAAGTGTCGCTACAGCATATGTCTAACTATTATAGTTACGCCGCAATAAGTGTTCTTTTATGTAAAAAAATAAAACAACGTCAAATATCGTTGAAATTTTTGTTAAAGACCCGAGCGGAGTCGGAACGGGCCGCTTGTCTGCTATAAATTTCATATTATTTAAATAGTGTTTTACCTCATTATCTCTTCGGCGGCAAGACCTTCGGCGAGCGCTTCGAGTTGTTGCGGCGACATCCTGCTGATGGCGGCCATGTCTATGATGTCCAGGTAGAGGGGCTCGGTGGGCGCCGGTGACACCATCGATACAGCCACGCACCCCAGACAGAGCCATAGCTGTATAAGATAACGACAAAACTTAAAACCACGATTAAAGGACGGGGAACAAAAATCATTTTGCTTGTTACCTTAAGATTTTACTGGTGGTAGGACCTCTTGTGAGTTCGCACGGGTACCACCACCCTGCCTATTTCTGCCGTCAAGCAGTAATGCGTTTCGGTTTGAAGGGCGGGGCAGCCGTTGTAACTATACTTGAGACCTTAGAACTTATATCTCAGGGTGGGTGGCGCATTTACGTTGTAGGTGTCTATGGGCTCCAGTAACCGCTTAACGCCAGGTGGGCTGTGAGCTCGTCCACCCATCTAAGCAATAAAAAAAAAAGGTACACGAGATCTCACGTCCAATTTGTTATTGAATTGTAAACAAAAAACATCACTACGTGAATTCCGTGGTCCTATTCTTTAAACGGGAACCGGATTGGGGATCGCATTGTAAGAAATAGCAGGATAATGGCCTCCCACTCATCCATTCCGGTCTCGGTACTCAGATAACGCTGCTACCCATTCTCAGGCCACGAGAAGTATCCGGGCTAACGGACATGCCCCAGCTGTGTGCTTAGTGCGAGTTTTTAACGTTCTCGATAGCGTAAAAGTTAACTCAATTTTGTAGGGAGTTGGAAGTGTGCCTACGTTTGCCACTTGGGGCGCTGTTCCAACTGCATACAAATTTGAGTTAACTCTTACGCTATCGAGAACGTTATAAAACTCGCACTAAACTCTGGTATCAAGGCACACTTGACAGTATGAATGCCGCCACCCACCGTGAGACATGAGTTGTAAGGGTCTCACTTTTAGCAGTACAACGGCTGCCCCGCACTTCAAACCGAAATGCATTACTGCTTCACGGCCGAAGTAGGCAGGGCGGTGGTTACTACGCGTGCGGACTCGCAGGGTGTCCTACTTTGATGATTACGCAAATTATAATTTTGCGGGCTTAATCTTTATTTTACGATGTTATTCCTTCATCGCGGAAGTCAATCGTGAACATTTTTTAATTACGTATTTCATTGGAAAAATTGGTACCCGCGCGACCGGATTACATTACAGTACATATTGTTTTGTGACGCGCGTAAAAATGGCACATTCCTTTGAAGTACGGAATTATAACAATCGACTAAGCAATCCTTCGAATTGAAACGCGCCCTTCCTAATTCGAAATTCGAAAAGCGAACACCGTTTTCACCGTTAAATAACAAACAGGCCCTAAAACGCTATTACGTAATAACTGTAATGCAAATAACGTGTAATCATATTTTTTTTTTAATTCAAAATACGCTGCTATTTCAACGCAACAGCTCATCGAGCGCGCGACGAGCCTTGGCAGTGAAAAGCGAAAGTTGCGGACCGAACGTCACACTGAGCTCCACGGGGCTATGAAAAAAGCGGTTTCTAGGACGCGTTTTTTTTTTACCAATAGGAATCTTTAATGTTTTTTGTTTCTTTTTCCTACCTAGCTGAGAGCCTTGATTTTTTTTTTCCTACCTAGCTGTTGGTCTTGAAAAACCATTTCAGCGTAACCTTAACTAGTAGGTGAGCTCACGGGGCTTAAACCTGACGATGTTGCTAACAGGAACCCTAGCAAGAGCCGTGCTTCGCAGAATCTACCACCGGATCCGAAACACTGAGAAGATACAGCGAAATATCCAATTGGCTGTGTCTGTGGGTCAATTTACTTGCCGAGCTCTGTGTCGCAAGCGACGGGTTCGACGAGAACGATGACCGGTGCTTGAGGTACCTAAAAGCACCGTTAGGGCGAGCGATAAACGTGGGACGAAAGTTTTTTTTAAAAATAGAAAATTTGTTTGTGCTTATTGATGATGTTGTAGTTAGGATCCTCTTCGATTTCCGCGTGTCGTAATCTAAACGATTTGCACGGCTTAAATAAAATTAACGTCTGAAACCAAAATAATAAACCCGAGATAAGACATTGTCTGTCGCGCATTTAAATTAAGATTCTCGTCTGGACTGTTAAACTTTATAACAATCATTAACAGTTCCACTTAATATTAAGTTTATTTCATGAAATGAACATAAAAATAACACTTTTAATTGACTATATAATTGAAATCATGTAAAGCTCTGCGTGAGTGTATTCTGTACAGATCTATTGTCAATTTCATTTTAGTATTATTTTGGAAGCGTTTTATGTATAAAAATATACTGCACTTGTACAACGAATAGGTATTAATGATGTCACTACGATAAACTTACATTCTAATAGTATGGATCAATAATATTAGATAAGCACGCGCCGTTTTAGTGGACACAGCGTTAAGTTGTTTTTGTTGTGTGTGAACAAAAGTGTGTTCACCTTTGATGAGAATTATAAAAAAAAAACCGAATATTTTATAAACGGTAAAACCTTTCTTGTCACTCACTGAATGTCATAAATGAGTCGTCTATTATCAAAGGCGGCAATCTGTACATTTGGACAAAACATTTTTATTGATATGTCAATACAGATTTATTTGAATATAATCGTCTCCTTCAAAGAATACGGTTCAAAACCTGCATTAAATAAAGGTTAATAGTTAACCTGTTATTTATCTAAGATGTCGTTCCGAAGAGTTTTGTAACTGCCAATGGAATACAAAGTCAATAATTCGTTTTTCTGATTTACCAATCATTGTCCAAAAGTCAGATTGCCGCCTTTGATAATAGTCGACTCAAATAACAGAATCCAGTTTTGTATTAGACTTGTTCGCAGGTCGTGTTTGTGCATTTTGATTCGTATAGACAGGTTGTGATCACAAAAATCTAGAAGGTCCAATTTAGAAAGTTAAATTTGAGCTATTTCCAAATTCACGGTAATCGTGCGAAATCACTTTGCTGTCTCTGATAACAAAACTAAACCAAAACATTTAGGGAGATGACGTAATGTTTAGATATTAGCTTTATGTATTTGTGTTTTGGAATGAAATGGATTAAATTTTTAGGTCTCGTCAGAGTTGTTCTATTTGTTGGTTTTTGGCTTAAATTATGCCGGCAAATAAACCATTTTTAAATTTCAATATTGACTTGGGTTCTGTCCCATGAATTGTATTGTACCTGGCGATGAAATAGCATAGTAAAAATAACATGCTTTAAGCACACGCTTTACACGCTTAAAATCACATGTATTGTTATTGTTACATAAGAAAAACAAACTCACACTCTATATTGTGGGTTTGTGACTGAATGAAATTGAATCTATTTTCAACAAAAACAAACAGAATAGCAGTCATTGTCTCGAGAAATTTAAGTGAATACTCATTTATTTTTCTCGTAGAATTCCAGCCTAGTACTAGTACGCAAGCCGCAGATTACTTAATATCATCGAGATGCTTTCAATCGATTGAAATCGATATCGAAAAAATTATCGATAGTTTCACAGCATACATAAGCTGTGATGGCAACACTGGCTAGTTAAAAAACATAATCATTACTGCGTCGAGGCTAATTTGTAATTCGACAATTTAAAATACCCACATTATTTCGCCAGGTCACTGGCACTAAATTGCGTCATATGTGCCATGTGAAACGTTGTTCCTTCGTCTTATCATTATCCAATGAAATAAAAGAAATAAATCTAGCGGAAACCGTCACAATGTGTCCTCCATTACACTCCCAGACCCATAATTTGGAATCGACAGCGCGTTAAAATTACTGCTTATCACATTTTTATGAACACCACCCGAGCTGAGAAGGCGTGAATGGTTTTACATTTGTTTTTCTAACTTCCACAATTTTGATATTGATACACTTTTTTTTTAAATTAATTATCAGCAAAGTTTTTGTTTTACCCTTTAGTACACAGATAAATAAATTCATTTTTATATATGTCCTTTTTTATTTTCATCACTCAAAATGTGCACCAATAGTATTGATGGAAGAGATATGAATGTAGTGAAAACAACACACTAATCAATAAACAAATTACTGGATCTGTAAATATAATTCCGTATTATTTAAATTAAATTAATTTTATTTTAGAATTTATTGTCAACCCTACATAAAATATGTTTCAAATGGCCAATATTGTAAAACAGCATTTTGTTATAATAATATATTGGTTCGTTTAATTTTTTTTTAGTAGGCATTTGAATCGCTTTGTGGAGGCTTTTTTCTTTTTTGTTAATTTTAATATAATTATGATAAAAAAATCTCTGAATTGCTAATAACGGTGCCCATTTCCAAATCGGGTAAATCATATAATATCTTAGCAACGAGTAAATATAACTTCTTTTTTTTTTTACAGTACGTAATATGTCTTTTTCTATGGGTAACAGTAGCAGTATCTCCATTTCTAACAGAAAAGATAAAGATGTCATACCATACAGCCTAATCCTTTTTACACTTATATTGTGTTAATAAAAATAATATGGAGTGATAAATGATATGGATCAAATGAGATGAAGTTGATTTATTAGCGACTGCAATCAGTTGGGATGAAATTAAATGTAACGAGATAAGATGCGTTGACATAATAGTTTCAGTAAAATGATGGTTATTTACTGAGACTTTTTAGTGGACTTTTTAGAAGATCCCGAAAAGCTACGCCCAGCGGCTTTGTTTAATTTTCCTACATTTGTTAATTAGTGCAGTTAATTAGTTATTTAACAGATATTACACATTTAAACCTGAAGAAACACTAAATAAAACAATTTACACAACTTCACTACCGCGTTCCCGTTTAAAAATCATTTTCCATATGTATTCTTGTTCTGAATCTATCTTTTTTAATACCTTGTCATTTCACCTTCATTTTTTAATTATCTTTATTATTGACTATTTTACATTACTTTTGCATTGTTGATTTACAAAATAGATTTAAATTTTTTCAATTAATAAGTTTAATATATGATTCAGAGTTACGAGTCTCTTAGAAGCCATTCCAATATACTCTATCTTGTACTAATCTAGTTCACAAGTAAATTGTGCTAAGAAATGTAAATGCATAATCAAGTTTTGAAATTATTATCAGTCGCATATTTTAAAGCTGTTCATTCATATTCATAC